TGCGGATTACTGGCCACGTACCACCTCATGTGGCGGCCGATAGCCAAACTTCACTGAAATGCGGCCAATACTAAAATAAGCTCAAATTATACCAAAATGAAGCTTGTGAATAATAACGTAATGTTTGTACTTTCGCTAGGGTGAAAAACTGGTTGGAGATAGTTGAAATTCCCCAAAAATAGTAGGATTACACAAAATGGCTCACCCTCGTTGGAGCTCCGATGACTACTACAAGCCATGGGTTTTGTAGCCAGGTTCATGATGAGTCGATTGTTGGTGGTGGTTGGTGTTGGGAAGCACAGAAGAAGACATTGTTGCTGGATAATCTTGAAAAACCCCGAGCTTCGCACCGTCGCGACAAGTGGCCAAACAGGGAGGTTCTTGGGTGGAAAAGGATGCTGGGATGTCACTAATTTGATTTGTGGTGTAGATAAATCCATTGTCACTGGAATTCACCGGAAAAAAAAATGTCAAAAACCAAAAAACTACCCAGAAATGGGTATGTTTTCGCAGATCGTGAAGGAGCAATTCGGGTCAACACGGATCGACACTTTTTATTGGTCGAGGTCACTCCAGCAAAGCTGGAATTGCTATATATAGAGGTGCCAATTATAAAAAATGCCATTGACTTTACACGCTTATTTCTCATTCGTTATAACTCTGATTCACAAACGGTTTTTGCACACGCGTTTTTAGGATCAAGCTCTATTCGAAATACTAATTGTGAACCTGAAAGTTCTACGAGTTTTAAGGGTAATTACGAAAAGTCAAATTTTGTAACTAACAAGATTTAACGAAAATAAATAAATTTGAGGGAATGAAATTTCACATGTACCCCTGGATTTCAGCAGTCAGCTTTGGAGAAATCTACTAGAATCTTGGCCACTGGCAGTGGTGAAGCCATGTGGGAGCGATGAGTGGCGGCCGCCACTCCCCTCGCCGGAAAAATACGCCTGGAGGGCTAGTTCAGCCCCTCCCCTCGTCAAAAACTCTACTGGTTTTCACCCCCTCTTTGTTCCGGTGGTTTGGTTCTGCTACTGTGCAGCAGAGCTGGATCCTTTAAAAAAAAAAAACATCCAAGCCAAAACGACGTCGTTTTGGACCTGGTTAAAATAAAAATAAATAAAAACAAAACGGCCCCGTTTTGATAAGTTTGAAAATGAAAACAAAAATATGGGGGGACCGCATGTCCCCCTTCTCTCCTCAGAACCATGCCTCAGTGCATGTCCCTCTTTTCATTTTGAACTTTGCCTTTGCCAATCAAAGAGCAAAGCCTGCCCCCCAAATTCCTAGTAGTTACACAACAACTTGGCAGACAACGAACAGAAAACCAACCACTTTCCAAGCTCCAGCCACCGCCAGCCACTCTAGTCAGTCCCCCGCCACTCTCTTACCGCAGCTTGCAGCCTTCAAAGCCATTCTTTAGGTCAAATTTTTAATTCCCAAATTTATAATCCCTAACCCTAATAAATTATTTAATATGAATGAGTTTTAATTGGTATAGAATCATATGGTAATGCACTAATATTGTTATTGGTTATTGATTATTGATATGATTCTATGATTATTGATATGAGATTATGAAATTATTTTTTAGGGTGAAAATTAAAATTTGAATTCTTGATTCTTGATTAATTAATTGAATTATTCCATAATGTATACAATTATTCTTATTCATATGCTTAGTTGAATTGAATTTTTATTTATTGAATAATTTGTATGCTTATTGAGTTATTGGTATTGATTAATTGAATTGTTGGTTGGATTAGTTATTACGCATATTAGGGGTAATTATTTGGAGCTTATGCAATTGGTTGGATTGGTTGAATTGTTGGTTGGATTAGTTATTATGCATATTAGTATAGTGTACTCTAGGATTAAGAGTCTGAGAAATTTTTTTTCTTTCTATTTTACAATTACGTAATGGAACGATATTATAAGAAACAATGCTTAAGTTCGCCCATCCCCCCATTTTTTTTTCTTTCCATTTTTCTTTAACCTTTAACTCTTTTAAGTTCGCTCCTCCCCCTGAGAAATCCTAGCTTCGCCATTGGCCACTGGTTCTCTAGTACTACTTGTACGACTTATCTTTTCATTTGAGTTTGAGGCTAGGGCTCTTAGGATATTGAACTGCAAGCTGAATAAATAGCTAGGCTTATGTATTTTAGATTCTTTTTTAAATGCTCATTTGTTTTTCTTCATGCACTTTAGATTAGTTTAAAGTAGAACTATGCTCGTATACAAAAGAAATCCCCATTAGCAGCTCAATTGGACTCTGCAATTTGCATTTGTATATTACTAAGAAATCCTTGAGCACATATGTTTAAGTGCATAAATTGTTTATGTCACATCCCAGCCCGGGGCGGATCACTTCCCGAGCTCGCTCCACCACTGTAGCACAATATTGTCCGCTTTGGGCCCCGACCACCCTCACGGTTTTGTTTCGGGGAACTCACACGAGAACTTCCCGATGGGTCACCCATCCTGGGAATGCTCTCGCACGCTACTCGCTTAACTTCGAAGTTCCCATGGAACCCGAAGCCAGTGAGTTCCCAAAAGGCCTCGTGCTAAGTAGGGATGAGAATATACATTTAAGGATTACTCCCCTGGGCGATGTGGTTGAATTCACTTCCCATTTCAATTCTTCCATATTCTTGACTTATGGTTTCGTGACGTACCCGTTTCAAGTAAGTAGATGGCATTGGAAGAGTGTGAAAGAGGAAGAGAATGAGAAATTGATTCAAGCACTTCATACTAGTATTTAAATTGCTTTGAGAACTTGACCTAAACATCACTTATATAAAATTCATGAGAAGAAATGTGATTTACAAGTATGTCTGAAAGATGAAGGAGCAGGTAATCTGTGACATCCCACATCGCCTAGGGAAGTGATCCTTAAATGTATGTTCCCATCCCTACTTAGCACGAGACCTTTTGGGAGCTCACTAGCTTCGGGTTCCATGGGAACTCTGAAGTTAAGCGAGTAGCGTGCAAGAGCATTCCCAGTATGGGTAACCCATCGGGAAGTTCTCGTGTGAGTTCCTAGAAACAAAACCGTGAGGGCGTGGTCGGGGCCCAAAGCAGACAATATCGTGCTACGGTGGTGGAGTGGGCCCGGGAAGTGATCCGCCCCCGGTCGGGATGTGACAAATTGGTATCAGAGCCTAACCTTGGTCGCGTGTGTGCCGATGAGGACGTCAGGCCCCTAAGGGGGGTGGATTGTGACATCCCACATCGTCCAGGGGAAAAGCCAGTGAGCTCCTAAAAGGCCTCGTACTAAGTAGGGATGGGAATATACATATAAGGATTACTCCCTTGGGCGATGTAGGATGTCACAATCCACCCCCCTTAGGGGCCCGACGTCCTCGTCGACACACACGCGACCAAGGTTAGGCTCTGATACCAAATTGTCACATCCCCGCCCGGGGCGGATCACTTCCCGGGCCCACTCCACCACCGTAGCACAATATTGTCCGCTTTGGGCCCCGACCACGCCCTCACGGTTTTGTTTCTGGGAACTCACACGAGAACTTCCCGATGGGTCACCCATACTGGGAATGCTCTCGCACGCTACTCGCTTAACTTCGAAGTTCCCATGGAACCCGAAGCCAATAAGCTCCCAAAAGGCCTCGTGCTAAGTAGGGATGGGAACATACATTTAAGGATCACTTCCTTGGGCGATGTGGGATGTCACAGATTACCTGCTCCTTCATCTTTCAGACATACTTGTAAATCACGTTTCTTCTCATGAATTTTATATAAGTGATGTTTAGGTCAAGTTCTCAAAGCAATTTAAATACTAGTATGAAGTGTTTGAATCAATTTCTCACTCTCTTCCTCTTTCACACTCTTCCAATGCCATCTACTTACTTGAAACGGGTACGTCACGAAACCATAAGTCAAGAATATGGAAGAATTATGAAATGGGAAGTGAATTCAACCAATCTTATTCTCCTCTTGCATACCTTTGTTTGTTTCTAGCATTTGAATTAAATGAATTAAAAAAATTCAAACAATCGAGAGTGCAGAATGAGAAAAAGCATACGGATATCATTTCCTCTGGGAAAACTCATTTAAGTAAAGTAATGCCCATAAGCTTATAGAAAATCAGAGAATACTAATTTTAAATAAATTATATAACACAACCTTTTTCTTTCAATAATTTCATCGCATGAAATTTCATGTTCATACATTCGATTTGCTTCCCCTTCTGAGAACTTAATTTTACAACTGACTCACAAAATGGCACTTATAGGAAGCTATTATTTTTGCCCTAAAAGAATTGAGATCTGCAAATACATAGGGATGGGCATAAAAACCACCAAACCGGAAAACCGAATCGAACCGTGACAAAAAAAAACTGTAAAAAACCGTGTTGACCAAAAAAAGTCAAAACGGGAACAAAAACTGAACCGAACCGTTTCAAACGGTTTCGGTTCCGATTTGGAAATATTAAGAACCGGACCGAACCACTTTTAATATAAATTATTGTTTTATTATTATTTTTATATAAATAAGACATTTTTCCAAGAAGACCATGTGCATAAGCCTAATATTTTTCTTCACTTCTCTCCCCCTCCTTTGTTGTTTTATCACTTTTCTCTCCCTACATTATTTTTCTCCATTCTTTTCCAGTATATTATGCATTATGTACATCTTATTTTGAGTTTAAGATCCACACTTTGGTCTTGATATGAGCTTTTCTATCTTTTGATTTATATTTATATGCACACTTTCTATCATCTGATCACAAATCTTGTAGATCTAATAGTGAAAACTCAAATTTACTTATTTGTGATTGAAAAATGTGTTTGATATTGGAAGTAGAAAATTAGAAAAAAAAACATATACATAATTTTGATTAAAACTGTAAACCGATCTGAACCGAACCAGAATGTGATTGAAATATGTGTTTGATATTAGAAGTAGATAATTAGAAAAAACATATATATAATTTTGGTTAGAATTGTAAACCGACATGAACCAAACCCAAACCGTCATGAACCAAACTGTATGATTTTAGTAATAAATTAAACGAAAACACACCAAACCGAACCGTTAAAATTTTCCTGTTTTGGTTCCATTTTGAGGGTGGTACCAGGCCAAACCAAACCGTGCCCACCCTACAAATACATATGCCCTGCGCTAATACAACTCTAAACATTCCTCGGACATTAAAAGTAGTTTACTACTACATCAGTTAGCCAAATTAGATTCAAAATTACAATGGATGGCGAAAGACCCCCGCCCGAAGAGTGCCATATCAGTATCTGTAACCTACCGGCATCCCAAGCTTGTCCAAGCGACCAGATCCCGGGTAGGCTTTATTTGCAAAGTTAGCGTGCAAGGCAGATGTCCGTTGTGTAATTGATCTCGACTCACCAAAGCCGTGAATGGAGTACCTCTTTGTTGAGCTAGACCTATCATAGTGAGGCCTCTGCTTTGGAGCACTGAGAGACCTCAACTTAGCCTTTGATGATTCAGTGCACGCCATGTAACTTGGGTAATCGGAATAGCCACTTAGGTAACTTTTTGAGCCATCACTCCTCGTAGGAGTGAAGGGGCTTCTCTTCGAAGTAGCTCCCTGCGATGAAGCAGAATACAACTGCGGACTACAGTTGGCAGTGCAGAAAGAGTCTTCCTCAACCTCTCGAGAGAGCTTCAATGGGCTAAAAGACTGTAACTCACAAGACGATGGACTGGGAAGTGTGTGATGGCTTGTGGAGTCTTTTGAAGTGGTAAAGCTATGGCTGTATTGGTCTGAGGCCACAGCAAGATGAGTAGAGTGAAAAAGATTTCTCCGTTTAGGTGCAATGTATGATTTCCCAGTATCGATTTCGAGGACCCTGTCATTCTTTTCATCATCAGTAGTTCCATTGGACTTGGAGCTATTTTTCTGCAGGATGTAATAGGCATGAGAATCTTATGTAAGTAGCACACATGGAAATCCAGAGGAAAGACAGGATTTGAGCATACCCGGAGTGTTGAGAACTGCTCATGCTTTGTACTCCTTGATCGGATAGGATGTTCAAATTTTTCAGGGGTTGCTGGATCCTGCATGTACATGAAAATTTTCTTGTTTAATGAATAAACAAACATTGGGTAAACACAGATGACAATTTGGTCACGAGGACTCGTAAAATACACAAATCAAATGCAAATACACATTCAATTTAAAGAGTATTTCCCTTATATTGTCCTCAACCAACAATCACACAGAATGAGAAACAAATTATGTACTGCAGATTACAAAACGTAGTGATTTACACGTAAACAGTTAAAATTAGACAGCTAAGTAGCAAGTAGCTAACTCAATTCATTTCAATAACTAAATTCATATTGTTTTACCAAGATAAAACCATACAAGCAGTGCTAGTACACGGTTAAATTGATGCGAATGATCAGTGGGACAAGGTAAATCTATGTAGTAGTAGCTTGTAAACCATCAATGTGTCCCCTCTACCATGTTATATACCTCCCAAGTATGATAATGTACATTAACTGTTATACGTATCATGCCACTTGTCAATCTGCCACTCTCATTTATTCGACTGTGAAAGTGGTGTCCACACAAATAAAGCATGTAACTACACATGAATGCATCATGGAGCTTTTATAATTTCCACCAAACAACACTTCATCACAACATTATATGTCTGTACTGAGAAGTACTTGCCGGAATCCAAAAGCTTAAAAACAATTGGTCCCCCCCACTCGAAAGTGCACGATTTCAATTTTTTAAATCTATTTGAAAAAACTCAAATTGGAGGGACATAAATTTTCCTTACAGGTTGGTGAAACTGAGATGATTTGATCCTTGAGTGGGAGAGCTCAGAAATCTGGGCCCGCCGTGCTTGAGCTCGTGCCTGCGCTCGCAATATGGCTTGCAGCCGCTGCAACCGGTCAGCATAAAACTTCCTCACAATATGACCTCTAACCAACGCCTGAAGTCGCACCAGTCCCTTTAACGCTCGCAATGCTCTCCTTGCCTTCAAAATGTCCATTCAATAAAGTAAGTTGACTTGTGAAAACCCAATTCAACTCAGCGGAGACGATACTAATCACAACTAAAGTAACAACGAAAAGCGTTTCACAAACGTGGTTTCCATAATAATCGAATCATAACAAATTGACAACAAAACCAAGATATGTGGTTTCTTTTCGTCAAGGCATCAGTAAACAGATTCATAATCTCATTCATTGAAGAGCTTAAATTCAATGACACTTGAAATTACGGCGCCAAGGAGACCAACATAGAATTTTGAATCAAACAGGCGCCTAAAAGAAAGTAATTTTAGGCCAGTGATAGCAAATAAATCTATGGCCCTGACATGGCAATGAGCAAACAACGACATTTCACTACCAGCCCTGCAAAAAGGTAAAAAAGTATTGTCCACTGTTTGACTGGGATCTATCAACATATTAATACGAAATTGAAGAACCCAACCTACACAACACCCGGGAAAGACTTCCTGTTACCTACACCCCCCAGGATCCACCGTGGCGTCCCAGACAATGTGGGGAAGTTAAAGCACATGACACTGTATCATTGGTCCAGGACGTGACGGTGGCATCCCTGAAGGAAAGTATCTCTCCCCCCTCCCCTCCTACAAAAGTCAATTAGGAAAATTCTTTTTTAGGAACCCACCAAACTTTAAGTGAGCAGGACCCAACAGGCAAAAACGTCAACAAGCATGGAGTTGAACTTTTAGCCATCCATCCACTCACTTAAATGCATATAACTACAAAGGGATTGTTAAAACAACTTGATTACATTCAGAAAGTCCCATCCTACTAACTGCTCCCCCACCCCACATGACCAATTTATATTAAATTAGCCTAGGAAAGATCAAACATTTTAAAAAATGCATTTGTGCAAAAAAAGCTAAAAGCTTTAAGAAATCACTGAAAGCCCATATTGATTGGAGAACCTAAAGGAGCAGTAAAAAAAAGAAAAAAAAAAAAAAAAAAAAAGCCAAAAGCCAAAAGCAATAAGAAATCACTTAAAAAAACCAATTGAAATGGCAAACATTGTAGTAATTAAAACCCCCAAGTGCACAGTAAAAACAGAAAAGCCAAAAGCTTCAAGAAATCATATAAAAAAAGAAAATTAAATAAAATAATTTGAAAATTTTGAGGTTTAACTGTAAAGACAAAATATAAGATAAAATAATATAAGAATTGAGTTTTTAGTGTAAAAATATGATTTTTCATTAAAATAAACAATTGTTAAAATTCCCTATAAAAAAAACCTAAATGTACATAAAAAATAATAAGGATTCCCTCACATCCATTCATCGTATATTGTGTAGCAAATTTTCGTTACGTACTATTTATATTTAATTTTAAATAAAAAAATTTACAATAATTTTTTATATGAACGATGTACTATCTACAAATATAATTGAAAGATCCTAAGATCCCTAAAAAAAAAATACGGAGAGGATCCTCATTTCTTAAAAAAAAAAAAAAAAAACCCTAATTTGCAGTAAAAGAATAGAAAAGTCAAAAGCTTTAAGAAATCACTTTAGAATAAACCCAATTGATTAAATGAAGTAAGTGTTAGGTAGGAAATTAAAGAGCCTCAGAAGCCTCAGTAAATCCATGACACTAACATTTAGACAAATACGTCACAGGCAAAACCAATTCATCCACATTTATCTCCAAAAACCACCTACAAAATGCAGAAAACTAAAATAATTCACCCTAAAAAAAGAACACAACCAAAGTAGAAACCAGATTTTATGCAATCTTCCAATCACCAACAACCAAAACTATTTTGAACATACAATATTATTATTTACGCTAAGGGAAATAAGATGGACTTATTCTCATAATAAGCTAGTAATAATATGATTCAAATTTACTTTTAGTGAGAATCAATTTTTAACTTACCAGTGAAGAGGAATACTACTAAATTGCAATTGGCATCCACAACCAAAACTTAATCCACAAAAAACCCTCACACATTAGATCCTGACCCACCCACACTGTGAAAACGCCAACACATAAAAAATGGAAGGCCTCTAGATGGAAGGACCATGCGTGGGTGTGCCGAACCCTTTGCGAGGTCCAGTGGTCCACACGGGAGTGCAGTGCGCACCGCCTGGCGCATTTTAGTGGGGTTTCGAGCATTGAAAAATGCAGACGGGTACCCCAGAAATGGCAGTGGGAGAGAAGAAACTGCACGCATTGCCGTTTTGGGAAAAACGACACGGAATGTACAGCTCGATGCAGTCCCAACTGGGTATTAGAATAATTATACGAAGACCAAAACGACGTCGTATCGGACCTTCCCTTACAGAAGGTGCAACAGTGGAACTGTGTGTAGTAAGAAGTATTGTTTGTGTAAGTACGAACCAGAAAGTGTGGAAGAAGGGACACGTGTCGGCTTCCGGGCATAATGCTAATCCCGGTAACTTAATCAGAGATTAACGGTCGATTAAAAAATTTAAAAAATAAAATAAATAAATAAAATAAATTATTAAAGGAAATAATAGGGGGATACGAACCAAACAGCCTCGGAAGGCAGCTTGAATTTTCACAGCGGCCAATTCTTCCTCGCTAATTCCAACGCGGTTCCCGCTAGCGTGCACTGCGGCGCTTCTGGCGCACCGTCCGCTGCTAGTGAGCCGGACCACCTCCGCGGCGGCGTGAGCAGCGGATACTGCTGCTTCGGCCACAGCGGCTGTCGCGGCCGCCACGGCGATAGCGTGTGTGTTGGGGTCGGCTGCGTCGGTGGAGGAGTCCATGCGGCGTTGGAGCGGTGCGGCGTCGTTTTGGTGGTGTTTTTCTCTGTAGGACTTGACGAAGCTCCAGCGGCGTTTGTCTTTGGTGGGTGGTTTGGGAGAGGAGGAGGAGGAGGTGGTTTGGTGGGCAGGGTTGGGCTTTTTGAGGCCCAGAATGCTCCGGAACCATTTCGAGGCTTTGCCCATTGTTAGGGGGTTGGGAGTGTGGAGGCTAAGGGTGGTGGGATGGGAGTGGGGTGGGGAAGTGGCGGTGGTTATGGAGTTGCATTTGCAGTTGCAGAGGAGAGAGAGAGAGAAGAGTGGGAAGAGGAAGGGAATGGGGGTGAAAAAGAAAGAAGAGGAGGGAATTTATACGGTGGAGATTTTGTCGAAGGAGGGAGGGGCCGTTGATTAACACATATTTATTGTTGGGAAGTGAAAATCCATAAAATCCATTCTTTCTCTCTGCATGGCGCGTATGCTTCACTCCATTGCTACTTTCTAATTCTTTTTGTTTTTGGTTTTGGTTTTTTTTTTATATAATTTCTTGGCCAATTAAAAAATAGGAGTAAAGAACAAAAAGATTGGAATAATTTGGGGTCGTTGATAACGTTTTGTTTTCTAGTGTTTATTGTAATACAAACAGATAGAAAAGATGATGATATTAAATTACACTAGATGATAAAGTCTCGACGGAGATAAATTTTTTACACATGCAATTGTTTTTAAAATACAAACATGCAAGAATAATACTTGCGTTTCTTTCTTCAACAATGGATTCATTCTTCTACTTGTAAATAATATATTTTGCGGTGAAAGTTTTATAATCAAAATCGACTAAAGTTTTAATTTTTATTTGAAAATAATTTTTACAAAATGATTTTTAAAAAGAGATCATTTGTTCCTTTAAATATGTCAAATAAATTGACAATTCAATATTGATATGTTATTGCTTGCATTGTTGTTTTATATATTATTTAAAATAATTTTGTATTATGTAATTATAATTGATTTTACATAGTCAATTTTCTTCTACCAGTCATACCATCTTTTTTTCTCTCCTTTTTTTTAGCTTCCGTTGGATGCGCATGCATATTCGTAAGGTGTTTTAAGTTGAGAGAGGTTGAATTCTTCTTAAGACATAAACCTAAACACATGCATAAAACTAAGGATTGCCAACACAACGGAGATGTTCAAGGTTTGCTTACTATTGTGTTTTAGACTAGAGTTAGTCATAACTCACAAGCAATTACCTCTTAAAAGACGTCGTGAAGTAGGTATAGCGTTATCAAAGTTTATTTAAGCTAATTAAGTGGAGGCAATTATTACTACAGCAAATGTTAGGAATACCAAAATTTTAAACCAAATGAAGTGTCACCAATAGGAAATAAACATGTTAACCAACACTTAAGTAATGATCCAATCATCAACAACCACATTATTTGATTTGCAAATTTAGTTTAAAAAAAATTTGGTCTCTCTAACATTATCCAAAGTTAATTGGTCCAACTTTATCTTCTTTATTCAACTACTTCAAGACTCTTTTATAGTTATTGAAATTGGTACCAAGCAGAATATCCTCTACATAAAAATATAATCTACTAGACTGACTAGTCAAGCTGCTAGTCAACTAAGATAGATTTGTTAGTCAATAAATCAAAGATTTAATAACCAATTTGTTACTCTCAATGAAAGCATCAAATTGTGAATGCAAATTTCTTCCTCCTTGTTCTTGGATAAAATCGCACCTACGATCTAGGTTTTTAGAGAAAATGGAGTAGTATATATAAGGCATGGCGGGCCTCCTTGGGGGAGAAGGTGGCCGGCCCTTTGTGGTGTTTTTGAGTGTATTTTGTAGTTAATTGGTAGTTTAATTAGCCATTAATAGATTAATTAGGTAATAAATATATTAATTAGCTAATTAACATAATTTAAAAGGAATGTTTTGGGGCTTACCTTGTGGAGAAGATCAATGAAATAGGTTTTGAATAAATATCTATTTTGGGTACTTTTGACTTGATTGTAGGATGATTGTCCATTGCTCACATGTGGGAATTCCGATGCTCCTCAAGGGTAATTTTGTCTTTTTTGCCCAAAAATTCACGTGTCGTCTCTTGATTATTTTTGGCTCTACAAACATGTGTCACACTACAAACAATTTGGATAGGTCCATGGCTAAAATCTGGTTACTAGCAAAAAAGTGTCAGTTAGCTCATGTGGGTAAATCTTAAATTGTGTGCCGAGCTTGCTGGAAATCTGACGCAAAGCCTAACTAGACAACTAAGCTAGTCAGAATGTAACATGAATGTAGACGAGAAATGCATGTGCATGAACAAACATTTTGAAGTGAGATGTGTCACATCCTTGAATATTTCTTCCCAGCAGATACATCTCATAAACAAAGAAAAGCCTAAAGCAAGATTGAGCATGTGGTATAATAACAATGTTGACAAGGAAAGACAAACCTAAAAGTCTAGACTTCACAATTACAATTTACAATCATAGAAGGGGAAGAGATTTCTATTTTTTTTCCCAAAAAGTTGTTTCTGTTATGCTTTAAGATAATTAGTTGCAAAATAAAGCAGTTGAACATTTGATAAACAGTACTTTAAAAATGGGTTAATTACACTAACACCCCCTTGAGGTTCATTGAGTTTTCACAAAACTCCCTAATGTTTGAAACATTGCATTAACACCCCCCTCAAGTTTTAATTCTCTTTCATACAACCCCTTCAATTAAAATTTTGTTTATATATTTACTAACTCACCCTTATAAATTACTCAAACTAATAAAGAAAACTTTATAATTGTATAAAAAATTATAAAACATTAAATACTTAAAAAAAACCCAAGAAGAAGACAAATCTCCCCGTCCCCAACCCCTCTCAGTCTCCCAAATCTCCCCACCCTTCCATTTCCAATCCCCCGACGACTTCCCCCTCTTCCACAACTCCTTCTCCACCATTTTCATGGTTTCTTCTTTCTAATTTAGTGCATAATCAAATAGTAAGGATTTGATCTTGATTACAAAATTATAATTTTATTAGATAGAGATCATTTATTGGTTTGTTGAAAGTTTGAATGGGTGGCTGTGATACAAAAAGAATGAGCAGATGGAGATGGAGGTGGTTGCTCGATCGGGTGGGAGGGAAAGAAGAAGATGAACTTCTTTTGTTTAATAATTTTTTTTAAATAGTTAATTTTTTTTCTTTATTTGTTTTGTCCACATGGTCTTTTTCTTGTTTTTTTAAGTGTTTAATGTTTTATAATTTTTTATATAATTATAAAGTTCTTTTATTAGTTTCAAGTAATTAATAAGGGTAAATTAGCAAATTTATAAGCCAAATTTTGACTCAACGGGTTATATGAAAAAGATTAAAACCTTAAGGGGTTGCGTAATGTCTCAAACGAGAGGAGGTTTCAAGAAAACTTGATAAACCTCAAGAGGTGTTAGTGTAATTAGCCTCTTTTAAAAGTGTTATGAGTATGAAAAGCAGTGAAAAATATTTGCTAAATTTTAATCTAAAAGTGATACAATTAATATAATGAAAAAAAATAGACTTTATAGTGTAGGCAATGACGACGACAACGTGGTGAAGGTAATGTTTGTGATGGTGGTGGTGGTGCCAATAAGAGGTGTGCTGGTTGGATAGCGAAGGTAACAATGGTGGTAGGGGTGGCAACAACAATGATGGTGGCAGTTGAGTTGTGGTGGCATTTATGGCGGTTATGTTTATGATGGTGGTGGTGGTAATGGCAGTTGTGGTTGTGGTGATGGGTATGGTTATGCTGGTGGCGTGATTGTGGTAGGGTGGTGATGGCAACAATGACGGTGATAATGGCAATGGTTGTGCAAGAGGTTATGATTTGTAGTGGGTGTGGATCACTTGCTTTCTAAGAATAAAATGTGTCTAGAAGGATAAATAATGTATGCATTAAAAGGTGCACGTACGGTTTCTAAGGGATACAACTTTATCCCAAGGTTTGGTTAAGATATGCCAGATTCCACCAGGTATACAAATGGAACCTAACCATACATGCCCACTTGTTATATCTTCCAAATTGTCTACACTAACAATCCACCCTTCTCCACCAAAGGGGGATTTTAGTAAATAACCAAATACAATATATGGGCTAAGGATTAAGTTGGTAATTTTTCTTACATCTCCCCAGCGGATACATATAATTCCGAAGAATATGTGATTGATTCATATACAACATCTTTTTCTTTGATCAAGGGTTCTACCAATTGATTTGTTTCCACAAATAATTGAAATTCAATTTCTCAATCTGTATCTTCAATTATTGGAAACTTATAAAGTTCCTTTGTTAAGCCCTGCTCAATGAACCTACAAAATCCTTCAAATTGTATCTGATTAAATCCAGGTATTGTAGATATTGCCTCATTTCCACCCCCCAAGTATTATTTTTTTTTTAATTTACAGTTTAAAGACAAAAACCCCATTTATCTGTATACTTTATATTGCTTTACAATCCATAATATATTGCTTTACAACCCATAATGAAATTGTTTTTTTTTTGTTTATGTAAAAAAGATTTCAATTGCTACAATGATATGACTTATATATCATATCTTGATTGGTTCTTTCTATCTGGATAACACGAAGTGATGAGTTGGTTATTAGTTCTATAGTTATCAGATTGTATTATGGGTTGTATACTGATAAGTGATATTTCGAGTAAGTGTTTACATAATCTTCTTCTGTCCGAAGAAATGATTCATCGAAATAATGAGTCACCATTGATTATGAAATCCATTCTCTCCCACGTCACACCTCAAAACACACCATTCTTATATAGAGAGAGGCGTTTTCACATCTTCTTAACCAGAAGCGGATGGGAAGAAGAAAGGTTCTTTTTTTTTTAGGGTACTCCCGGGAAGGTTCTTTTTTTTTTTTTTTTTTTAGGGTACTCCCGGGAACAGATCCAGTGGAGACGGGGTGGGGCCTATAGCTCAGAGGATTAGAGCACATGGCTATAAATCACGGTGTCAGGGGTTCGAATCGCTCATCGCCCACAATCAGCCATTTCCTCAGCCCTTTCTCATCAATGGACTCCTGACGTATACGAAGGAGTGCTATTCGTTTGATAAATTCTTACCTTTAATCTTTTACAAAATCGGCCCCCTGACTGTACAAGAATATGCGGAGCTCAAAATGTTTGGAAGCACAAAAGAACATCCTTTTGCGGATATTATTACCAGTATTTGATACTGGGTCATTCATAGCATTATCTCTAATTTTATTAAATTAGCATTTAAAAGCAACCTATAGGCTGCTCTTAAAAACTTTTGTGCGGAGGCCAAATTGAAAATTTGATACAATTTTACCAACTTATTGTCTAACTACATGATTTTGGGTAACTGGTGTTTAGAACGCTAAA